AAAACTTGAAATGTTACGAATCTTGCATCTTTACGAATCTATAACCTTTGCGAAACTTAGAGTTGGTGAATCTTTTTTTCTTGTGAACCTGAAAATCTTTATGAATCTTGCATTTTGTAAATCTTTTTTTCTTGCGAACCTGAAAATCCTTACAAATTTTGCATCTTGTGAATCTTCCATTCTTGTGAATCTGAAACTTTTGAATCCTTGCGATTTTAGGATCTTTTCAACTTCTGTCCGAATTGCAAATCTTTGGATTTATGGTGAAATTTCAAACTTCATTTTGACCATGGTTTTGTCCTGGTCACTCGATTTTGATTCAGTCCAAATCATTTTTTATGAGTTGTGATTTCATCTCGATCATTTATTTTCAACCTCAACTCGATATTAGTCACTTCATTTCTTATGACTCGTGGTTTCATCCTGGTCATTTTATTTTCAACCTCGACTCGATCTTGGTCACCTTATTTTTTGACTCACGATATCATCCCAATCATTCAATCTCAACTCAGGCCAGATCATTTTCGGAATCTTGGTTCAATCTCAATCACCTGTTTTGATTTTGGCTTAGTCTAGATAATTTTATTTCTTGTTTTGTAGTTTAGTCTCAATTATTTTGGCATACTTTAATCACTTCTCAAATCTCGGCTTTCAAACCCGAACAAAATGGATATCTTTTGTTTTTGTGCAATTCTTGCTCCACAAAAAATGCACAAAGAGGGGTAACTATAGATACCTCATTTTATCCATGATGATTTTTATAAGACGAAAATGAACCCTCAACTATTAATTGGACCCAATTGGAAAGCTTTGGGCCAATAAAAAAAGTTTTAATTTTAATTTGATTTAATTTGTTTTATTTTACCGGTAAAAAAAAGGAAAGTTTGAAAAAACATTGCAGGAAATTTTGGTGCATGATTTATGCAATTACGTTACTAAAATTGATTCAGTGATTGAATCCTATAAAGACGACATCGAATCCACCATTGCAAGACCCTTAGAGAAACCCCAAAAATTCTCACACATGGACCTATTACCAGCTTTAATCAGCGAGATCACTCTCCAATACCACCACCATTTGCGTCTTTCTTCTTTGTATTTTTTTCTCCAAGGTGGCCCACTAGCCAGGGTTTCGAATGAAGAAATGTTGAAGCTTGAACAGAAGCTGGTTTTCCTGATTTTGGAAATTGGGATCATTTTCCATTCAGTGATAATAGGGGTGGAAAACTCTCATGGTGCAGCCAAGAAATGCTGTCTCATTCTTTAGGAGGCGGTATGGCAATGGGATCTTCAAGACTGTTTCTCGTGCTTTATTTGGTTCTCCCATTCTTTGCTACTCTCACCCATGTAGCCGATCAATACCTTCAGGATTATTGTTTAAGCGCAGCAGGTAACTATACTGCAAACGGCACTTACTAGGCTAACCTCAACAACATCTACTCTTAACTTACATCTCTAACAAAATTCAACTATGGGTTTTATAATCTGTCTGCTGGTGAATACGCCACCAAAGTTAATGCAATCGCACTTTGTAGGGGAGGCATAAACCAAGCCGATTGCAATGGTTGCCTCAATGATACCATATCTGAATTCAAGCAGCGATGTCCCTTTTACAAGGAAGTGGTTGGATGGTCTGAATTTGGTATGTTGCGCTACGCAAACCGAGACATCTTTAGAGAAATAGAAGACTCTCCTAGCCCTTGTCTACTCAACACACAAGACATGAGCTCTTTGACCAAATCGAATCTGCAAGACCAAGGCTTGCTTGGAAGTTGTACTCGGCTAAGGCACGTGACGAAACGCGTCTCCATCAGTATCCCACAGTTTGCATTTAGATTTTGGAGAAGAAGGTGCTTTCAAAGGCATGCGCGCATGCGAGCCTTTCCAAGGTGGCGAAGGATTCTTTCCTAGATTTGATATGATCAGATGAGACTAGGCTTTTGAGGCTGAGGCATCCAGGAGTGATCCACGTGGTCCAAGCTTTGGATGAAAATAAGAACGCGATGGCGATGATTATCGAGCAATTGTTTGTGTCAGTGGCTAATGCACTTGAAAATGTTGGGTATGTGGCCTTGGTTTCTAAGGACTTTGTAGAGATGGAAATAAGTTTGAAGCATGGTTGCTTCATATTACAGAATCCTTGAATTTTTTTCATAACAATGCACATCTTATTCATCTGATTGTATCACTTGAGAATGTCTTCGTTACATCAAGTGAAGCTTAGAAGCTTGGTGAGTTTGGTTTTGCTATTTCGACAGATCAGGTCTTTAGTAATCTGGTTAATGTGTAGGCCTTTCATTATTCTGAATATGATATTGAAGATTCTGTCGTACAGAACCATCCCCTCCAGGTCATTTCCATGAAGGCTAGTTTTCTAATTTTGATTTTTTCTTTCTTCCTGTTTTTTGTTATTAGTTGTGTAAAGATCTTGAAGCTTTTGAGTATTAGATGTCATTTGTTTCTAATAAAAAATAATAATATATAAAAAAAAAATTTTTTCAAATCATAGAAAAAATAATAAAAATTTTTTTAAATAAATTCATGAATCTTACCAAAAATTTTCATGGATTTAATTTTTAAAATGGAATTCACCAAACTATTAAAAAATTTCATAAAGTTGTTTTCAAAAAAATTTTATCCTCTAAACTATTAGAGTATTGCTTCAAAGTAAGTTCTATCAAACTATTAAGAGATTTTTTTTTGTGAATAAAATACTTTAATGAATCCAATGATAGAATCTCTTCAGAATAGGACACTAGTCTTTATGAATATTCCTAAAGTGATAAAATTATCTTAAATTGCTATAAAATTATTGGGACAATTTTAAGACTAATCTTCAATATTACATTATTTGATAAATCATAAAAATGATCAAGGCTTGTATAATTTGAAATCAAACTGGTACCATCCTTTGGATGAGCGTTAACGGGGGTGCTATAACTTTCTCCATGCGTAACCAACTCTCAAACCTAACATCTATTTTCGCAAACCAAAATATATTTCAGGTGACCAATCGCACTTAAACAAAAAATATTTGTGACGACTCCTTTTATCTATGTCTAGTGATAGGTCTACGGATCTATACGTTATGACACATCTTTTCAACAAAAATCGTATTTTTAATCATAACTTTTGTGAGAATTTTAATAGCACTAAGTTTAAAATGCAATTTTTGTTTGAAATATATTAAGAAAAATTATTTTCATAATATTTTATAAAAAATTATTACTTTCTAAGTTAAATAACGTTTTTTTATATAATTTGAAAATGTGATTAAGTTAGGGTAAAGAGGGAAAATTTTATTTTCCTTTTAGGATCTTCAAAAATCTCAGAGATATGAGAGTTTTTTATTTTCCTACTTTTTCACTTCTTGAAATTGTTGAGAATCTTAAAAATCACATTCTAGTAAACTAAACCAATAAATCAAATTACAGAAAGTAAGAGTTTAGGGGGAAATATTACTTTCCTTTGAACCAAACATCACCTTATAGAGATCTTAAAGAGAGAGGGAGAGAAAATAGAGAAAAATAAGAAAACAAGAAATTTTGTTTTATATAAATTTTACATATATTAATAATGTAATGTTGCCAACTTTCATTTATTTTATTGATGTCATATAAAATTTTATCTTAATTGAAAAAAATTAATGATGTTAATTTTTTTTATCAAACTAATAACTTAATTAGATGCAAATAAATGTTGGAGAGATTGATTGATTGTAATTAAAAAAAGTAATGATTTGAATGATTCTTTTAAGTATAATTCAAGAATTTTTTATACCCTCTAACCATATATATATATATATATATATATATATATATATATGTATGTCATCCAACAATTGTCCTATAGTTTGAAACCTATAAATATATAGTGTTTTTTTTTTTTTTTCATTTTTTAACTCTATATTACTTAAATTTACGATTTTATTTTTATAAAAAAATTAATTCATTTTTCTTTTGGTGCTTATCTCTTAATCATTTTCAATTCCTATGTAAAAACATATTTATTTTTTTAACAAAAAATTTCGTTCTTTTCTAATATCTATCATATGATTTATCTATTAATAAATTACTTGTTTATTTTTTAATAAAAAATATTCATATGTTATAATACTAATATATCGTGTTTAAGCTTGATTTGGATCCCACCTAAGCATCAATGAGTTGAGATTTGAACAAATTGTTGAGTTTAAATGCAGCATTTTATTGTTCGGGTACCATCCTTGAGGCACGATTTGTGCCACCGTGCCACTGAAATTTTTAGCTCTAGTGAAAACTATTTAATCCCACCACATTTTTTTTTTAATTTTGCATTAAAACTATAACTTTCATTTTTTTATTATTTTATTTTATTTTTTATTTAAAAATATTAAAATAATTCTGCTAATTTAATATAATAAATAACTTTATTATATAATAAATTAATATTTGGTCAAAAAATTAAAAAAATTATAAATAACATTAAAATATATACATATATATAATTTATCAATACACTTTTAAAATAAAGTCTATTATTTTTCATTCTCATTATCATTCACCTCACCACACTATTATTTTTATATTTAAATATATATCTCAACAACTACTATAATCATTAATATTATCTCCATCATCATTTTCAATTTTACTTAAACTAATTTCACCGACTGTCTAAAATGGACTCTTAATCAATTAACCTTCATTCTTTGGTTATATTTTTAACAGATTCCAACAAAAACAAATTAGACGAACTGTCCACCATTCTTCGTGGAAACTTCTCAATTACTGACTATTCACAGTTTACCAAAGCAACCTACAGCATTAACAGCCGCCACCATATCTCACCACCATTTTCTTCTGCCTGTACAAACTTGATATTGAATTACGTAACTAAAGGGACAGGAAACTGAAAATGAAAGTCTTTGCGGTAAGGGCAAAGTGATGTGACAAACCCTTGTGGAATTTTAACCCCCCAAACAGAAACATGCCAATCCCATTAAAGACGCTACATCAAAATAATGAGAAATAGCAAAGCAACTACATCAGATTAATGAGCAATTTGAAACCTGAATCCTTTCATCTGGTATAGTGTCAGTAGTTCTTAAATGTGAGAGCTAGGATTTGAATGTAATGTGGTTTAGGTTACCGTTAAAACTGAAAGCCGATATATAATCGGTTTGATGATGTTGATCGCCCACCAGTGAAACGTTCTATAGGCAAGCTTAACCTATGAACATGAAGCTTGGTAGGGCATATTGTAGAATATGCATTTTTGTTGAATATCCCTACAGTTATCCAATAGCCAAAACATCACAGAAATGATTGATTTTTAAGCTCGAAATAGAACTCATACTATATCGCAGAACAAGTGCACAGAACTCATAGTTACATAAATGCTATAATGCAGCATATCGCAGAACAACTGCACGGAACTCATAATTACATAAATGCCATAACGCACCACAGGAGATGCATCATCTCATAAGGTATTAGTACATACGACGGCTGACCTCTATACAGGTATAAAATGGGAACGGAAGCAGAGAAACAAAGATCAGAACAAAAGAAGACAGAGGACTATGCAACAGAAGAGGAAAAAACTTATTCTGCTGAGTGACTTATCGGCTTGCATTACGTGCCTTCTGATCCTAGGACTAGTGCTCCCCACAAGATTGTATGAATTTGGATATGTATATAAATTAATCGAGTTCCCAAATACCCCTGTGTATACCATGTCACCAAACGTTCGGCTCACTGGATCCAGTACATTTATTATCATCGGTGAAGCTGGATAACCGCCCTGTTGAGGGTAGTAGATTTGTGGTTGATATGAATGACCGCCGTGATGTAATTGCAGTGGAAACTGCTGACTACCGCTAGTATTAGGTGATCTTACTGTGCCAACTCCGCAAGTAGGAGCAAGAGGTCTCTTTGGTATGACTATATCAAATTGGGGAGTCTTGCCTCTTGATGCCTTATTTGTCAGGCCCCCGCCATAAAGCGGAACCAGTGTGGTATGTGAAACTTCTGATTTGCATACAGGACAATGCTGCTGTTTCTGGCCTTGGTTTTCAGTGGATATGGTCTGATAATGAAGCCATTTGTAAATGCAGGGCCAGCAATACAGGTGACCGCATAGTGTGACCACTGGATCCTGGACAGAGTCTAGGCAGATGTTGCAGTCAAAACCTCCGGAGGGATTATTATCAGAATCTGAGACTGCATCTGGTGGATTGTTACACTTCTCCAAGAAATTTTTACCCTCGCATACAGGGTTATGAGCTACAGCTTCTTCAAAGTATTGCTCAAAGGCCATCTGCTGCCAAAATCTGTAATATATATGCAAAAGAAACCCGATTAGAAAATACAGATCTAAAGAAACTTGAAACCCCATATAAGACTCATTAGGCCAGCAAATGGTATTGACCTCTCTTCTATTTCTATATTCAGAAACAGAGGCACCGAAGCTGTTGGTTGGTAAGAACTCACCTATACATAAATTTGCGAAACCAAATTCCACAAAAGCTACCATCAAAAACTTATGCGCTCAACCACCCCACTAATTAAATGAATACTTATCTTCTAATGGTGGGGCAGCAAACCCTAACATTTTTTTTTCTTCAATTTGAAGCACATAACACAAACATTAATTTTTTCAAAGGCACTACAACTAACTACGTCATATCAAAATTAACAGTCCAGAGTGGATATCTCAATGCAGAAAACATTCTACTTCCTCTAGATCATCAACCCTATCAGATGAATTATGGGTTGTGAAATTTTATTTATTTGGCTAGTTTAAATTGTCCAATCAGAACTCTCTTCTCGAAGAAGAGCTGAAAATTGGCATGCCTAAGAATGATCTTGAGTTATTTAATACTCTGTTTCTTCTAGAATCATAGTAATTCCTAACTCAATAAGTTTTTCTACAGACCAAATTTATACACAAAAAACAAATTATCTAAACGAATACAATAAACACCAGTTATTTCAATCAAGTCAAAAAGCAAATTGTGAAAAGCTTTTGGTTTCTGTGTATCTGCAGTTCGCACTCAGCAGAAAATAGTAACTGTTTGTTATCTATCATCATATGCAATCAAATTCTATCAAACCTTGAGATGATAAGGACTTCACCCTTCCCTAATGATTTACCAGCAATTTTAGCAGATTTAAATCAGATTCAGGATGAACAAAATTTCACATGCTCCGACTTGACATCTCTAAAAATGACGCCTATATCATGAAGTAAAATCCGAATAAGAAAAAAGAAAAAAAGAGAAAAAGATAACAAAGTTGAAAAAGATAAACACTCAACTTCAGCTTTTCGCGGCTTTCTGAACCGGTTGAGGATTTCAAAGAAACAAAAAATCAAAAAACGCTCAGCTTTCAATACCTTAGCTCCAAGTTCAGCCAAGACAAACAAGAATCTCTTCTGTTTTTGCAGGTCACGAAGACTTCAAATTACCGAATTCTAGAAGAAAGGAAGAAGAAGCTAGGCAGAGAAAAGTTTTGAGGCTTGAAATCCCTCCAAAGCCAAGGAAGTTAGATCGACTTCGGTTCATAACTTGAATATAAAACAACTAGCCATAAACAAAAGAACAAAAATAAAAAAAAGAAACAGAAAGCGAAAGCGAAAGAAACTGACTTTAAAAGCTAAAACCGGTGAGCTTTTTGAAACATGGAGTAATGGGACATAAAGATCCTCGAACCACAGTTCAAAACAAAATCTTACACACACAATAATTATAGGCAGAAAAGTTTGGATAACATACCAGCTAGTTGACAAGCCTCTTATAAGTGAACTTTGATAAACAGGGGAGCTCTTTTTTTTCTGAATGGAGAATCTAGTAAATCTCTTATTTGAAAGAAACCAAAGAAAAAAGAAAGAGAGAAATATACAGAAAAAAGAGCGATCAAGAAGAAATAAGATAAAAGGGAAAAAAAAAAAAAAGGAGATTGATTTGAGAAGGAATAAGATTCTTAAGGAATGAAAGAAATACAGAAAAGAGAGCTTGGGGAGAGGAAAGAAACTATCCGGCTTTGCTTTATGTATAGAGGCGAAGAAGATAAACATTAAATGAAAAACTTGCCATTGTCCCACGGTATGTTTCATAGATTCACGATTCCCGCTTTCTTACGTGGCATCCGCTGCATTTATCTCTTTTTAATATTTTTATTTGCTATTTTTATTTTTTATGATAACGGAATTATGAAATTGGGAATTAATTTGGCAGGTAGTTTCATTCAACCTACCTCTTCAATTATTTTTTAATATGAATTGCTGTCGGTTGTGATTTTAACTAATTTTAAATTTCAGAAGTTGATGTTATAACAATAGGATTAGGACCCCAAATCTTCTTAATCTTGTCCTAATTAAACTTATATATATGATTTAAAACACACATGGGCTTAATGTGATTTTTTTTCTATTTTAAAAAAAAAAGCCACAGTTTTCATAATTTTCTCTTAAATAGAAAAAATTTACACAATATCTATGAGCTTTATTAAAAGAATCGATTGGCTCAACTGACAAAATAGTGTATTTCTTATTTTATTACCTGAGTTCAAGGTTGTTTGGAGATTGTGAGAAAGTGATATTTTATAAATTCACAAAATTTTGTGTTGATAAACTTATTAAAAACACGAATTAATTTCAAATAATTTAATTAATTTATATATCATATGGATCACAAACTAAATACAATTATAAAATGATATTAAACTTTAAACAAACATATGAACAAAATATAAAGTTATTATTTAAAAAATTAAATTCCTTATTTTTAAATCTTTTAAGTGAAAATGGATGATCAATCTTTTCATAAATTATTTTCAAATTTTGTGTAATTGTCAAATTTAAACTTGAAAATAATGCATTTAAATTTACAAAATGATGGAAAGTTTTGAAAAACAAACATTTTCCTAGGCTGAAGGATATAAATTGGATAATGCTTAAAAATAAAATGAAGTACAAATTAATTAAATTATCATTCACAATTAAAAATATATAATTTTATTTTCACTTTAATTATTTTATCATTTATATTTCAATATTTCTATTTGATAAAAAAATTCTTAAATTACAAAATTAAAGAAAATAATATTTTTTTATTATTTGAACAATTTGATTCAAAAGGTAAAAAAGTTGTAGAAACTGTAAATAATTGTCTTGAAAAGTCTTATAAAAAAAAAAAAAAACTTTTCATCTTCATCTCAATGTTAAGTTATTAATATAAGCTGATAAAATTTGGTAATAAAATAGATATACTTATCATCTTATAAAGATTAATATTTTTAATAAATAAAAGCAAGCAGTATTATATCATTTTCATAATTTACTTTCTTACTTGTACCACAATAGATTACCTCAACTTAATCTTTCTACTCTTGCATTTCATAGATACAACAGTTAACAATACATAACAAACAAAGAAAGCTCACATAAGATTATTTTACTGTTACATTGTAAAGATCAGAGATGCCTTAAGTTTTAACATCAAAGCGAATATATCTCAATTTTCACTTTTTATAATAATCTGGTTAAACAAAATGTAGTATTTAAATTTGTCATTATAACTTTTATTGATTTTTACCATATAAAACTATTATTTTACTCTATGGATGTTCGATTTTGAAGTTCCAATTCCCTAACTTAATATAGGACTTATTATTTCCAAAAGCAAGTTCTAGAAAAAGGCCATTGTAATGCAAAAATCTCATAAATTAATGGCAAAACTATAATTACTGATCAAATATAACGGAATTGGTAAGAGAACTTTTGTCACACTGATATTTTTTTTATAAGGAATATCAATTGCCAACGAAAACCCTCAAAACTTTGGGTTGGGTATTTTGTAATTAACATCATTTTCAATCATTAAACAACTATTAACAATTAAAATAATAGTTTCTCAAAATCAAAAAAGAATATATGCAATTGTTAGTGAATGAAAGACATGAAGATGATATTTTATTTTAGACAAATACATCTAATACCATAGGTATGTGCAATTGATGAACTAAATGAGTAATAAGAGAAATTCAGCATAAGGATATTTCATCGAGGTGGAAGATGGCATCCATTAAATAGTAAAATAAATGATATTTGATTTTTTAAAATTTATTAGGAAATTTATAAAAATAAATTTATATTTTAAAATTTTAAATTTAAAATAGATATATCTAGATTGTTAAAGATATATTTAAATTATATATAGTTTTAAAAAGAGATCATATATCTAGATTATTTGAGATGTATCTAAATTATATTTTTTTAATTTAAAAAAAGATATATAGATGGTTTAATAGTTCATTTTAAAAAAATAACAAAATTATTGATTTTATTCTAAATATATTTGAAAAAAGTGAGTTTGGGAAAATTTTTTTTATTTAAATTAAAATAGAATTCTTGAAATATTAAAATAAACCTAATTTTTAAACTTTTAAATATTTTTAAAATGAAATAATTACTAAATGGGATTATTTGGTTAAAATTTAAATTAAATTATTATCTTACATGTAAAAAATATAAGTTATTCATGTAAGCATACATATGACATATTTTATCAAGTATTCATGTATTACGTATATAATATATATATATATAATAACAAAAAAATATTGATTATTGTCACATGATATAAAGTAGAAGAAAAACCAAGATTTCAATTTTTTATGATTATTGCAAATATATTTTGCTTGTAAAATATCATCTTCAATTATATCAATAAGATTATATTGGCAATTTCTTAATCAATTAAATCCAAAATATTTTTGTGGAATTATCACTGAAAATATTATAAAATAAATAATTATATGAAATTTAGATATAATCATGGTATTACGCGTTAATCTAATTAAAAATTAAAATGAAATTACTTCAAAAAAAATTTAAAATGATATTGCAAAAGATACACGTGGACGGGAGGCTCCACGTTGTATCCAGAGGGAAGCTGATATTCTAATTTTACCTCTGACCGACCGTTTGATTTAGTTGGCCGTTAAAGCGCAAAAACAAATATAATAATAATAATAATAATAAATAATTACAAACCAAATTCCGTGCAAATTTTATGCAACTTAGCTAATCACTGATATGGACATCTCTCTTGCTTTGAAAATGATAATTACTTTTCAATTTCCTTTTTTGTTCTCTTCTACAAAAATTAGTAAGTATTTCTTTTCAATTTGATACCGATTTTAATTGAAAATATCAAAGTAATTAGTCAAAATTGGACTAAGAATTTTCCATGTCTATGGCTTTTTAGATTTTCTAGAATGCCTGTTACTGGAACAATAATGTAATAAATCAGAAAAATAATAAAATTAAGAATGTTGATTTCTTCAAGCGTATTGAAATTCAAAAAAATTGCGTGTCACAAAAAAATCAGTGTACCCAAATCTTTTGGGCAAATTGGTCAGGAGTTGAATCTGTTGGCTTGACTTATGGAATAAATATAGTAAAATTTTTTAGATAATATTAACGTTATACACGTATTGACCCCATACTCCTTTCGCAAAAGCACCAATCTAGAAATTAAAGATGGGTGATTAAAAAATAGTAATTAATAGAAGGAATTAACCCGTGAATATTATCTTTGAATAATTGTTAGGGCATTTTAATTCGCTAGAGTCTTTTTCAATTATATTTATTGTGATCTTTTACTGTATATGGGGTGGGGGGAAGAAAAAGATGGAGAGGATTGTTTAATTTGTTCGCTTGTTTCTGCGAAAGAAATCCTGAATTACTTTATACTGTTATTAGGTGTATGAATCACGTGAAGCAATTAACAAGTACTAATTTTTTATTTTTTATTTTTTGGGATTTAAAGAAAATAATTTTCAAATTCATCTCATAACAATAATCACATTGAGTTAAATTTGGAATTCTAATATTAAGTTATATCAAATCTAAGTTATATATACATATAAATTGATGAACTTGGATATGACATTAAAATAGCTAGTACCTCAATTTGGCGTTTGTTCATTCCTAGATTATGTCGCTACCAGTAACAAGGACTTATAAAATACAGTCCTCCTAGGCTGCTTTCCAACAAGGACTTTTGTCTTTTGACTAGTTATATATGCATGCATGTGCATATATTTCATGCCAAGGGTCACGAAAAAACACAAATACAACGGTAGCCAAACGAGAAAGTTTAGGAGCACAAACACTATCAGTCTTTCCTTTTTGTGATCAAATGAAGGAATCAAATCCACCTTAAATTTGATTAAAAATTAATAAATATTTATCTAAGAAGGAGCATGGTTCAGGTACATGACCCTTTTGTAGAACAAAGGCAATGGCTTCGATATTGCTATAACCGCTCGCTCAGATTTTTTTGGGGTCTTAGCCATGCCTAATCTGTAGTAAATATTTTTTTTTTTGGTTGATTTTTTGTTTGTTTAATATATAATAAATATTATTGATTCATCAACTTGGTTCATGTTTAATTTAAAGAACCTTCAAATTCTGCGAGTAGAAAATTTTATTTTGAATGCCAAAGGAAACGAATAAAAAAAAGAGAAAGATGAAGAAACAAAAGCCAAAAACAGAAGAAATTGACACAATATGGGCTCGACGTTGAGTTAACCCTTTTTTTTATCTGAAAATATTTAGTCAATTGGTTCGTGTTTCCATGCTCATGCTCAAACTGTTGGCCTTTGATATATAGATTAGTCCGCAAAAATGACAAATATAGCCCACCAGATTTATAGCACAGCTCGCAGGCGAGGCTAATTACCCACAGAGACTGAGGGGCCATTTCGATCCCCAATTGCCTCCAGTGCTGTGTGGTTATATGTCTTAATCGCACTGATGTATTGTTTGGATCTCCCAGTTGAGGCATGGTGGAGCTACTTCAAACATGCCGCAATTCCGAAATTTTGAGTTTTCACCGCAGTTCCTCTTCTTATTATACCCTTATAACTATAGTATAGAGAGAAAAGCGCCCATACCACTTAACCTTCTTCTTTCTATTTTTTATTTAACAATTTTCAAATAAATTCTCTAATTTAGTATAATAAATAATTTTTATAATTATCAAATAAAATAATTAATAA